GAAGGAAGGAAGGAAGGAAGGAAGGAAGGAAGGAAGGAAGGAAGGAAGGAAGGAAGGAAGGAAGGAAGGAAGGAAGGAAGGAAGGAAGGAAGGAAGACCATTGTGAATAAATGCATCTTATCTAGATTCAGTGGTCTGTGTTCTGTAGCAGGCGTCCCCAGAAAATAAAATTATAAAAGAAGAAAGGCTAGAACATTGGTTCTGAACAAGGCTATCATTGCTCAGCTAAGAAGCTCATGACCATGGGCAAGATCATGGGCAACTGGCAATTTCTGAGTCTCCTGGGGGTATTGTTAGATAAAGTCTGTGTTGTATGTACACATCTTGAAGAAGTTTAGGATATAGATGAAGGATCAGTTGAACTGGGGGGCTTTGAGACCAGATAGAAAATGCTAAAAACATTCTGTGGTCGAATTTGGCTGTGTCCTATTTAGACCAGCTCTAGTGCTTTATCAAGAATATGATCAGAGTTTATAAACTCTAGGAAACCATTTGCTAGAGAGATTTTGGTTGTGTTGTTGTTGCTTATGGTTAAAGCTTATGTGGCAAAAGTTTGGTTCTAGGATAGTCAAAACCAGTGTGATTCAAGAAGCACAAAAATATGTCAGGTCACTGATATTATGACCCTGCTAAAGAACTCAATTCCAGTATGTGACTTTTTAGACTTTCAGTTTTTAAGGAAAAATAGTTCAGACTTAGCAAGGATAGAACAATCAAGTTTCATTCTGTGGAGGCTGCATATTTAGCAGAAATAAAGAAATAATGAACATATCCAGTGCAGGATTAAGACATTTAAATCCCCAGAATAATATTTTAACACTCAAATATCTCTTCATGTGTGAATTTCTTTTTTAAAAAATCAGTTTTTTTCTCATTATATCTATTGCCTTCAACCCTCAATCCTTGCAGGCAATTCAGAAGAATATCATAATCAATGGTAGTCAATATTACCAAGATATCTAATGGGACACACTTGGTAGGTCATCCACCAGAACAATTAATGTTGTCTCAGTCCCATGCCCTGGTCTGAATTGCAACTGAAGAAATCCAGATAATTCATTACCTCCAGAACTTTTGTAGCTGAAAACCCTATCCACTTCTGCAAAATCTATCAAAAAATTAGGATTATAGAATGAATGGAAGTTGTCCAGGTTTCTGGGTTAAGAGGTGATCTCTTCATGAGGAAATTATCATTGCCTCCATTGAGTTTAAAGACATCACTCCTACCTTCAAAAAGTGTATCGTAAAAAGTTTCTTAATTGTTTCTTTGGAATTCTTCTATTCTTACAAAATAGCCCCACATAATCTTACAATGGGATTACCTTACTAAACTGAGCAAGCAGCATCCATTTCAGAGTGAATGTCAGCAAAATTTGTTTGCAAAGATTTCACAAAGTATTTACTGCCTACAGAAGATGCTTCTGCCCTGCTTTTACTTCAAAAGGATGTGGGAAACTTTGAAGAACAATGTCAGAGAGAGAGAGCAAGGGAAACAAAAATACATCTTGCTGTCCTTAGATTCTTATCTCTTCTTAACATTGAAGTCCATTAATCTCCAGGGCACCTGAGCAGGGAAAGTCTGCCGTAACCCAATCTTAGGAACAGGATTAAAAGGATGGGGCACCCATCCAGTTTATCTTCTTGAGAGTACAAGTTAACTATGAACAGATCCTTTCCCCCAGCTAAATGTCATCTGCATTAGGTCCCAATGGACAGACTTTCTCCTTTAAACAGAAAGCATCATTCTGAGGTCACAAAGGCCATGTCTTTGTGACGTGGGCAACGTTAGTGTGAAATCACAATGGCTAGCCTCACCTTCTGGCAATCATTGAAACAAACAGCAGTGACAGGGTGAGGCAACATGCCTTTTTCTTATTACATTCATGGGGCAGAGTAACCAGGAGGATTGATGCATAATTTATTTATTATCAAGATAAATAGTAGCAATGTTTGTCCACATCGTTCACCTGTAAGTATATATCTCCCTGAACACCCAACCTCAAGTTCAATAAGTGACTTGGACCACTTAGGGTAATGGAGGCTCTTACTGTCCCAGAGATAATAGGGACAAAAGTTTCTTCATCCTGCATGGGGTAGGTGTAGACAGAGAGATAATGTGTCTTGCATCCTGGCACTAAAGTACAGCCCCAGTTTAATTTTAAATATATACTCACATGTTAAGAAAAGGAACTAACACCATCAAATAATTAAGAGGCAATTTTCTATCATCTGGTCCGGAGATGTATTTAAAATAATGTTTAGCCTACTTTTCTCTTATGAAGCTTTCAAAGCAGCTAATATAAACGAAAAACAAGAGACTGTATTTAAAGCCACAAAAAACACAATGAGTACATCAAAGCCTCAGTCAGTCAACAGGTTTTAGGATCTAAAAAGTAGATCAATGAAATAAAACCAGGCTTTCATCTTATGCCTGAAGATTCAGAGTTAGGACTAGACAAGCTTCAGCCAATGAGCAACTCTGAATTTGGAGTGGCCACTGACAAAACTGCTTTCATGTAGATGCTAACTTAGTTTCAAAGGGGCAGAACCTAGCTGTTCTGTTATTACAGGCTGGGCAGATGGATTTGAGGACAGGTAATAGATTGGGAAATCTTGATCTACAGCTAAAAGCATGTTATGTGTCAATATGGCACAAACAAGAATGGCATTATATCCTCTGGTTCTTTCAGAGCCAATGAGAAGAATGACCCCCTGTGAGGTTTTGTATTCATAATTTCAGACTAACTGAAATATTGATGTTATTTACACTTAGGTTCTGTGAAAGTTCCAGCCAAAACAGAAGATCTGATTCAGAGTGTCCTAACAGGTAAGAAACATGATCATGCTGTACAATAGTATATTTTAAACAAATTAATGGGAATGTTGCAAGAAACAGTATGCCACATACAAATAGCTATTTTAATCTGTTTATTGTTCAAAATGTCTTCCTGGCGGTCTTTAACTATCATCTAGAACAGCGGTCGCCAACAGGTGGGCCATGGCCCACTGGTGGGCCACAAGAAAATTTTGGTGGGCCGCAGAGAAATCTCACCCCCAGAGCACCCCCCCTCAAAGCAATTAATCAGGCTATGCAGAAACACAAGGCTGCGCCGCCCATATGGTCCGCGGGAACCCTCCCTGCCCACTCACTCTTTACCCGGAAAACTTGCCTGCTAAATTGCTATTTTTCCTTTTTCTGACCAACAGATGTTCTGCTGTGCCGGGAGATTTAGATTAGCTAGGAAGTAGGAAATGGTTGGATTTCTTGCTTTCTAGCTAGTCTTTAGATCTTTGGCTCTGCTTTTAAGCACAGCCGAACCTCCCTTAGGACTGAAGGTTCTATTATTCAGTGCAGACACACAGCAAGCAAATTGTATGTGACAGACTGAGCTAGCCGATGGCAGATAGATAGATTTCTGAATGAATCTGTGATTCTGTGAGCAATTCAATCTGCCTGCCTGCTTTGTCTGATTTTGGGTAAAAGTTGCTCTTTTTTATAAAAAAAAAATCAATATTTATATATATATATATATTTATAATATTTACATACAAGTCATGCCCAGCCAGTCACATGACCACCAAGCCACACCCACAAATTAGGCCACACCCACAGAACCGGTTAGTGGTCCCTGGGATTTAAAATTATGATTTTGGTGGTCCCTGAGGTTCAAAAAGTTGGCGACCCCTGATCTATAAAGAACAATTATATATTTAAGGGATTTTAAAATTAAGGAATGAGGCCAAATTACTGGAACGCACCAATTTCATCCCAACAAGATGAATAACTGGGATCCAAATGATGACTGAGTTTACTGTAGAACTGACACCACATTTAAGGATCCAGGATTCATTTGCACGTGTTTGAATTTGATAAGTTGGCATATAAACAGCAATGCAAATAATAGATTAAACAGAGTTCCCTCCAAGCGTCAGTAGTTTCTACATGGCATGATTAAATAATTCTTGAATTTGCGGTGTAAATTCATTCCCTTTAGAGCAAAAAGCTATAGTCAAAACAAAAAATCTTAAAGCTGTACAAAAGCTCTTGTGGGTATATATGAGCATACACAAGTAGATATCTTTATCCTTTTCTTCTCAAGGAACCTTACAGGATCATTTACTGTTTTCAAACACAGGAAAGAGCAATGAGCTAGATGTGCAATCTGCTTGCATAAAGATATGGCTAAGGTGCATCTCGAGACATAAGCATTCTGTATACCTTATGTGTGCTGGTTAGATAATTATGAATAACCCATACTTTGCTGATCTGACGTGAAGAACATGTTATAAATTTACATAGCAGATATAACTAGAATAACAGATGTACTTACGTAAGATATACTTTGCTTTTGTAAAAAAAAAAAAAAAAAAAGACTGAATTGGGTCATTTTTATATTGTGAAATGTATTAATAAATGTGGGGGTTATTTAGTAGTATTTCTATCTCCAGGTGAGGTGATTCAGAAGTCTAAACAACAATGGCTCATGAAACAAAATAAACCAAATTGAAATATCTTTATCTTTCAAATACCTGAATTACATAATTCATAAAGGTTGAAACTCTTTGAATTATATAATGCTGATAAGATCACATAAAGAGAGGATGACCTTGCTGTAGTGGATATGTACCTGTGTAGTGCACAATGTACAGTGCAGTATACAAATGCAATGCAGTACAAGTGCAGTGCTATAATCAATTCAACCAAGTACAAATGCAGTGATTTATATTCGTGAATTCAGATTAGTACAATGCACTACAGTAACCCATAACACCAAAAAAGGAAACAAACTGCCCATACAATACCTTCCAACAAAATAGATACTCAACCCAGTACAGCACAACAAACACAAGTTCTGAAAAGAATTATACTACTATGCATCAAAAACATACAAAAAACAACCAACAGCCTACCACAACCACATAGCTTCACCATAGCACATAAACCAACTAAAACCCTCCAAAACATAACTAAACCAAAAACCCCAGCAGCCCAAGAAGGAAAAAAAGGAATCGTCTACAACAGAGTGTAAAAACTGTTCACAACCACTATGTAGGATAGACAGTTAGAAGACAAAGCACATCTATGAACACCAACTAGCAATCAGAAGACACAATGAAAACTTAATTTTACAACACATGGACAGACTCAATTTCAATTTCAAATCAGCTGTCAATACACACATAGAAATAAATCATAATTATACACCACTCAAAAGAGACAATAAAAAACAAGTACAAAAATATATCAAAACACATCCTTCTAGCAGCCAATACCCAGATAAGCAGGGATTAGCACCAGGCAAACAACCAAGCAGAAAAAACAACAACTGAGAATCTATCAAGGAGAAAACCACACCATCATCAAAACTGACAGGACAAGCTACTGTATATAAACAGGGAGCACATCCCACACCTACACTGACGATGTTACCTAACTGAGGCAGTGTTTACAAGCAAACAACCAAGCTCAGAGAGCACCAGGACTCCACAGTTCAATCCTAAACTATACACCTTCTCTTCTATTGGAGTAAGAGAGTTGCTTTTAAATGCAACTTCATGCAGTAGCAGCAAAAACCTGTTGATAAAACTGCATGTTCCCAGCATGTCTAATGTTGTGCGGTGATAACATCATTTCTCTTATTCTTGCAGAAGTTGAAGCACAAACCATTGAAGAGCTAAAGCAACAGAAGGCATTTGTGAAACTTCAGAAGAAGCACTACAAAGAAATGAAGGATCTTGTGAAGAGACATCACAAAAAAACAACAGATCTTATAAAAGAGCATACCACAAAATATAATGAAATTCAAAATGATTACCTACGACGGAGGGCAGTGTTGGAGAAAACAGCTAAAAAAGACAGTAAGAAAAAGTATGTCTATCTTCTTACAAAGGTTCCTTTGGCCTTTCTTGGAAATAGTTTACTTCCCAACTGGGTCTCATGTCCCCTTCCAGATAAGACTGGAGCTTCCATTACGCTGAGTGGAGCAACCTCTGTTGGTCTCTTTTATATAGATATAAAGCCACTTTGATGCAGAAGCTTCTGCCATTCATGCCAGTGACAAATTGATCCAGGGATTGGTAGGGCATGTAGTTAAGAGTAATATTAAGAAAAGTTGACCAGAAGACAGGTATCTGTCTTACAGCTCTCTGGACAAGTCTATATTAACAGGATAACAGAGTTGGAAGGGACCTTTGGAGGCCTTCTAGTCCAACCTTCTGTTCAGGCAGGAAACTTTATACCATTTCAGACAAATAGTTGTCCAATCTCTACTTAAGAATCTCCAGTGCTGGAGCACCCACAACATCTGGAGCAGTGGTGGTATGCTACCAGTTCAGACCGGTTCTACTGAACCGGTAGTTAAAAAAAAGAGCCTCCAACGATCAGCTGAAAGGAGGGGAAAAAGTGAAGAGAAAAAGGCAGGATCGGCCCTCTCACCTGCTCCTGTGATTTTCTCTTCTTTATCCTCTCAGCTGATTGGTGCTGCAGGCCCCAGCTGGTGTGGGGAAAGCTGTTCATGTGTGTTAGGTGCATGCTTGCGTGATCACCGAACCAGTAGTGGAACAGGTAGGATTGCACTACTGCTGATCTGGAGGCGAGTCATTAATTAAGTAGAGAATTAAAAGGAGTGCTTAGTGTCTCTTGACTGGTGTCAAGAGGTAGAGGTTTTCAGCATTAAGGTCTTGCCAGATGTTGCAGGTGGTAGTGCTGTGAGAGAAGAGCCACATGCAGCATGCATACATCTCAATGTCCATTAGAGAGAGGAAGGCCCTCGTCCATATCCCATCAGCTTACAGAAAGTTTTAGGTGACAAACCCAGTAACTAGGTCAAAATTCAGTGCCAATGGATTTAAGCCATTTTCCACTTGTGTAGGTGTTCCCAGCCTCAAAATATGAGAGCATTGTCAGAGTGGGTTTCTAGATTTGAGTTGCTACACTTCTTTCTTATATTTGCACAAATCTCACATTGTGTTTGGTGCTTGATTATTACCTTTCTTCAGCTGGAACTTGGTCCTTCAGCCATCTCTCCTTTTAAGCTTGTGGTTTCCTAGGCAACTGGCTTAATACCTAGGTAGAACTATAAGCATTTCTGATATAACTGTCAGGGCTCAGGGAGATGCATTTCATGTATATCAGCCTGGCTTTTAATTTTTGGGGGGTTGGAATGTACTACTGTTACTATTTAGTTTTCAGTTGCTCTGTTTGGTTCACATGCTCCATTCTTTGCTCTCCCTTCTCACCTCACTTTTATAGTAGCAATTCTTTCCCAAGACCAAAAATATCACACTGTTCCTTAGGGAGTTTTGTTCAGTTTCCATTTTGCGCAGATTATTTTTCTCATTTGAGTTTTGTATATTGTTCCAAGCTTGCTTTCCTTTGGCAAATCTTTGGTCTTTATGAACTTTGCTCTTTGCAGTTCATTAAATAGTTTCACATTTAGGATGCTATGCAGTTTGGGGATGCTCAGATTTAAAAAAAAAAAAGATTTGGTAAGCTTTATGAATTATGAAATAATGCTAATCTCAAGACACTCATAATATCATTGGATGAAACTAATGAAACCCAAAGCTTCAATATTTTGTCTTATTTCTCCAATATTCATTGAAAAGTCATCAATTTAGTTACCTGACAATAATAATCTACACCAGGGGTCGCCAACCTTTTGGATCTCAGGGACCACCAAACTCATACTTTTAAATCCCGAGGACCACTAATATGAATTTTTTAAAAAGCTAATATATTTAATATAATTTTTATGTTAAATATAAATTATATATATGTATATGTATGCATGTATGTATGGCATTCAGCTTTGTTCGGGTATTTTCGCACGTCATTATAGTTGTGCTTTTAAAGTTGTAGCAACGGTTCGGCAGAATCTCATCTGCCATCATCAGG